TCGTGTATCTATATACAAGTATCATCATAGTCTTGCTCCTCCTCCTTCTGTTCCTCCTCCTCCCTCGACCACTGCCGTGGGGCCATTCGACAGTAGACAGTAACGAAGAATCCGCCATGCGAGCACAGCTAAGATCAAAAGAAACAACAAAGAAAGAGGGAGAGGAAGGGAAAGGGGGGGGAGGCTCCATCTCCTCCCTCCTCCTCCTCCTCCTGCTCCTCCTCCTCCTCCCCCTCTTCCTCCTCCTCGTCCTTCTCCTCCTCGTCCTACTCCTACTTCCTTTCGTCCTGATCCCCCCTCCTCAGTGTCGTCAGCATCATCGTCATCGTCATCCTCCTGATATTCCTTCTCCCGCCCTCCCATCCCTCTCTCCATCCCTCCTTCTGCTCCTGCTCCTTCAACTCCTCTTCCTGCTCCTTGTCCTACTACTCCTCCCCCTCGGGCTTCATCGTCCCCAATCCGCCAGTCTTCTCCTCCCTGCGTTCCTCCTAAACCCTTCACCCTCCTCCCTCGTCGTCATCCTCCTCATTCCACAACCACCCTGCTCCTTCCTCACATCACCCTCGAACCTGATCATCCTTCCTTCCTCTTTGGGGGGGGGGGTGAGAGCACTGCCCTGGGGACATCTTCCTCCTCCCTCTCCTCCTTCTTCTCCTTCTCCTCCTCATCCTCCTGCTCCTCCTTATCCTTCTCATCCGTCGCATCCTCATCCTCATCCTCATCCTCGGTTTCCTCCTCTTCCTCCTTGTCACAAGTATCATCCTCACCACAAGCATCCTCATCATCAACATCAACAGCAGCATCGCCATTCAGATTGCCATCACCATCACAGTCACCAGCATTGTCCTCGTAATTGTCACCACCACAACCACCAGCATCATCATCAGCATGATCAGCAGCATCATCATCGCCACTAGCATAACAGCTATCACCACCACCACCACCATCATAATCATCAACATCAGCATCCTCATCAGCATCAGCATATCAGCATCAACATCATCAACAGCATCATCATCGTCAGCATCAGCATCATCATCCTTATCAGCCTAATCATCCTCATCATCATCAGAATCGTGTTCATCATCATCGGCAGCATTATCCGTATCATCATCAGTATCAGCATCGTCGTCATCATCAACATCATCGTCATCGTCATCAGCATCAGCATCAACATCAGTTCCATCATCATCACCAGCATCATCATCAGCAGCATCAGCATCAGCATCATCATCGTCGTCATCAGCATCATCGTCATCATCAGCAGCATCACCCTCAGTATCATCATCGTCAGCATCATCATCATCATCAGCAGCAGCAGCAGAAACATCAGCAGCAGCATCATCAGTAGCATCAGCAGCAGCAGCATGAACATCATCATCATCATCATCAACAACAGCATCATCATCACCATCGTCATCATCATCACTTGCAACAGCAGCCTCATCATTATCATCCTAAGCATCATCAGCAGCAGCAGCATCAGCAGCATCATCGTCCTCATCCTCATCATGAGCAGCATCATCATCAGCAGCCGCATCGTCGTCATCTGCATCGTCATCATAGTCATGAGCATCATCAGCAGCATCGTCAACATCATCACCATCATCACTAGCATGATCATCGTCATCATCATCAGCATCATCATCATGACCAGCATCATCATCGTCATCGTTATCATCCATTCCCCTCCCTCCCTCCCTCCCTCCCTCCCCTTTCTGAACCTTCACCCCTATTCCTTCTCCTACCCCATACATGCTTCCTTCTCCGATTGAGCCCTCCACACTCATCATTCGGCAAAGAACTCCATATGATTGAAAACTACTGTCCTCTCGCCCATGGCAATGTCCAATGGTGTTCCCATGAATTGGTATGCCCTATGACTTCGTGTCGTCGGAACGTTCCCGGACCTTCAAAACTGGTGTTCCCGCTGCAGCGGCAGCCACATTTCAAGAGCGGTCATGCTCCCATCGTTCAGAATGGTGACCTCGCACATGCGAGGGCCACATTTCTAGATCCGATTGATTCCTCGTCGTTGCCGACCCCCTAATTTCCCATCCTCGGCTTTCCGTTGATCCTCCTCCTACTCCGCCTGATCCTGCCTCCTGCTCCTCCTCCTCCTCCTCCTCTTCTTCTTCTTCCTCCTCCTCCTCCTCACTTCCTCCTCCTCCTCCTCCTCCTCCTCCTCCTCCTCCTCCTCCTCCTCCTCCTCCTCCTCCTCCTCCTCCTCCTCCTCCTCCTCCTCCTCATTTTTTCCTTCCCTTTCCTCCTCATCATCATCCTCCTCCGCTTCCTCCCTGCTGTTCCTCATCCTCCTTCGCCTCCTGCGCATCCACCTCCTGCTCGTCTGCCTATGTACAGACGCCCCCGTTCGCCAATGTGCAACAAACGGTGGGTCAAATGCTGCAGCCGTGATGTGGGCACCAAGGTCCTCGAGGGCATCCCACTCAGCATATCGGCAAGGATTCAACACTATTGGATGTGACGGGTGAGAGGGGGAGGGTGCCAGATGTGGGGCGAGCGAACCAGGCTCGCGCTCCTGCTCACTCCTCCCTCATCCTCCTCCTCTTCACAGATTCCCCCTTGGGGAGTGGTAGAACTGTCGTGGGGCCATCTTCCTCCGTCCTCTCATCCGCGCCAGTTCCTCATGAATGGATCTTCCCTGTCGCACCCCGAGGCCAATCGGAAGGGCAGGCTGGGCGTTTCGCCTCAGACTTCCTTACCACCGATGATTCTGAAGCTTTAAAACTGACGGTACTTTCACAAATTGAGCGCGGGTCGTTTCCAAAATATTGTTTTCGCTTCAGTGCCGCGCACGTTCGTCTTCAAAAATGTGCAAGTGCTTCAGGGATTGAGGGCGGGTCGTTTTCAAAATGTGGTTCTCGCTGGAGCCGCGCACAGTTTTTTGTCCAAGAGCGTCGCGGATTGACGTCGGGGCGTCTTCAAAATGTGGATTCCGCCTAAGCGACGCGCGCATTTGTCTTCAAAATTTCCAAGAAATTCACGCATTGGGGCGCCTCCGTCCCCCCAGAAAAGACGCTGGCCCAAGGTTTTCTTGCTAAATAATAATCTGTCCCCAGTGCCACGCTAGAAGAAGACAAGCGGATCTTCTCCCTGATAGATAACGATGTCGGAGAGGGCCGGAGCATTAAGATATGAGGATGTCCCGGGCGAAACGCTGGCGCAAGGCTGGTGCACGGGGCGACTCCACCATCTCGCTACCCCTCGATGTTGGAGGTCTGTGGTGTGACCCAAAACGTCGATGCACAGGTCATCTGGCCACATCTCCCCATCCACTGTCCATCCATCTTGTCTATGTTCTGAGACACATCTAGCTCCATTGAAACGTCTGTCAGGTCATGGACATCTGCGCGCTTCACAGCCCTGATGGATACTCCCTTGTCAGTCACGGCGTCGTGGTCGCATCGCCCTACTTATCCGGGATCTTCGGGGTGCATTACCAAACGTTTTCTCGCCTCCAGAAAAGAAGTGGCAGTTGTCCTCTCGTCGAGAAACTGGGGTCGTAGCACCTGGGCCCCCGGTCGGCGGGCTTGGCCTCGCTGGGAACATATTGTCGGACAGGGTCAGACGACGCCACCCCGGGGCCTCGGTGGCACTGGCCACGACTTCCAAAGCTCAGAGGAGGCACGACTCTCCAGGCCGAGGATGCCTTCGGATGCCTTCCCCCATGGTCTGGCAACTCCTGCATCCCACAGACGATCGTCGAAGAGGCTGGCATCAATCTCAGCCAATCCCACGGCAGGATGCCACCGCCGGCACCACTCGCCTCGCCAGAGCGGCACCAAGCCGAAACCAAGCTTTGACCTCGCGGCGACTGGACTCCAAGAGAAGGAGGGACTGGCGGCAGCATGCCTCGATGAACTTCATGGCGAACTGAAAACGCACAGGGCGCCCCTATCACGGATCCCGACGAACGCACGGCGCCCCATGAGGACCTCCCAGGCGCGGCCACTCAAGGCCCGACAACGGAGGGCCCACAGCAGGACCTGCCTCACCCTCCGATACCTTTTACCAATAATTCGCGCGCACATGCTGCCATCATCCATCACGCCGCGAAGATCGCGCCCCCGCGCGCGCCCGGGCCGGCGGAGGCGAGGCGAGAGCAGGCGCGAGTTACCCATTGATGTTCGCGCCTTCTTCTCTTGCGAAGCGAGAACGCCTAGGTTGCCCACGTGGACATAGCAAGCAAAACGAAGACGGCCTCAGCAGCACTCCAGACAACGTGTCACTGGAGCCCGGGGCCGAGAAAAGCTTGGAAACAGACCCCATCAGGTTTTCAACGGTACGCTGGCAGAAATAAAGGGCCCGCGCGAAGCCCACTTGGGCGGTCCCCGAAGGCGGGGATGAGCCCACCGCCATCACTCCCAATTAATCGAAGTTCGCTGGTTCACGCCCGCTGGGCACGGGAAAAAGCCGAACGCCTCCGACCTATACTGGGCCCGGGGAAAGCGCACTGCAACGTCTGATATCCCAAAGCAAAAGCTGCTACCACGACCCCGTCTGGACCAATTGTTCATAGGCGAGGCCACCCCTGGCAGCAAGCAAGAATGGAACCGGCGCGCATCCACTACAAGTCCAAAACGACATGTTTTCAGCTCGGTCACAAGAAAGATGCCCACTTCCTGCGCCACCTCATCAACACCCAAGAGCACGCAGAGGCCGCGGCGCCGCAGGTCCCGCAGCGGCGGCAGGTACTTTGCGCGGCCGCGGACGGGAGAGGGGCCCCGGCGAGGCTTGGGCCCCGCGCCCGCAGCCCGAGCCTCTCGCTCGGGCGGCGGCAGCAGCATGCGCATCGCATCCTCCTCCATAGAATGGAATGCATCAGCCGGCAGCAAGGCGAGGGGGCCCCCTGCGCAGACTCAGGGAGAGGGATCTGCCGCGCGCGTTGGACACGACCGGTGCCACTGCCGCCCGTCTCGGCCGCGCACACTGAACGGCCGTTGAGGAGGCTCCGGGAGGGGCTCACCGCGGCTGGGGAGTCACGTCAGCCGCCGGCATCTCCTCGACAGCTGGCAAGACGCGCGCCTGCGCCCCCACAGACTGACTAGCGCGCCGCGGCCTAGCCGCAGCGCCGCGGCATTGCAACCAAGGAGAAGCATCGATCGCAGCGTCAGCCTCGCGGACGACCCGCCGCCGTCGACGGGCCCCGCGGCAACGGACACCCCGTGTGGGAGAAGGGGGAGCGCTGGCGCCGAGCTTGAGGGCGGGGAAAGGAAAACTAAAGATAATCCCGTCGTTTCCCGCAGGCTGCAAGCCCCCCGCAGGCAACACGTCCTACAAGGGGCGTCGAGGTCATGGTTTCGACGCCGGCGCCTCGGCAGAGGCGGCAGCTCGCTCGACTTTTCCCCCGGCGCTGGCGCTGCCCTTCGAATCCCCAGGGCCCTCTGGCCCACCATGGCCTCCGGCCCAGCTGCAGCATGACAGACGATTGGGCCCCGGGCAGACAGGCCCCTCACGCTGTTCTTCACCTTCTCGAGCCCGATGTTCTTTTCATTATAACGGGCCAGAGAGCTCTTCAGGACAGGGTCGACGATGCCCATCGGCTCACTACTTCCCATCTTGTGGTCGACCCCATGCCATTTCGGTCGCGCTGGATCCCCCTCGCACTTATCGGTGATCTGGGCGACCCTCCTGCACAGCATCTCCACGGAGGCGTGCGGCGGAAGGTGGTTCTGGTCGCACGATCCCGCACGCATGAGGCTAACGAGGAGTTGTCATGTCGATGGCCGTCCGCCTGTTCTGGCTGGTACCTCTCTCTCTCACAACCGGGTGGCCAGCCACAACAGTGGGTGTCCCCCATGCCGAAAGATTTTCTTCACCATGCGCAAACATCTTGGAGTGCTGATCCTCGAAGGGCCAGTCGAAGAAGGAGTGGCAGTCGATTTCCCTGGCGACGGCGCGCCAGACCTTGTGGCGCTCGCCACCCTCGTCAATCATTATCCACAAGACACGGGCATCGTCCGCCTCTTCCTTCACCTCTCCGCCCTCTTGGTGTGTAGCGATGGCCTCCGCGCGATTGCCAATATCCTCCATATTGGGACCGGCAGCATCATCAGATGATCGTCGATCACCAACCCGATCCTCGAAGGCGCTGCCGCGGTGCTTGCTCTTCACCACTTTGACGAACTCGCTCTGGGCGTCGGGCGCCACGCCCTGTGCTCGCCACCAATGACCTCCCAGCATCAAGGCTGCGTTGTTCTCATCGAGCATCACGTCGAGCCGGGTCAGCTGCACGACGCGCCCCGGGTACGGCGCCTGGGCCACCTCCCATTCGAAGCCATCCGGCGCATCGTGCTCGAGAATCGGAAACTGTGTCCCTCCCACAGCTTCTTCGAGATCGGGGGGAGGAGCCCCAGGTGGTGGTAGATCGGCGGTGGCTCGGGAGCGCTCAGCCTGGCTCGGCTCACGGCCTCGCGGAAGAATCTGATGTCTGCGCAATGCTCCCTTGGATCCATCAGCGGCTGGCCTGCTGCACGCAGCGCAGGTCGAGCCTCGCGTGTCAGGTTCCGCGGGTGATTGCCTGACAAATCATCTGGATGTGCGCAGAACTTTCCACGTTTCACATTGGGTCGGTTTCCGTTACTGTCGACCTCGAAGGCCCTTACGCAGCCCTCGGGACCTTGGCGCGTGATGTTCTCAGGGTCACACTCACCATCTGGCGCGTAAGCGTAACAAAACCACCCCCCAGGGGACACGGGGTACACTAGGATCCGATGGTGCCACACCTCGTCGTCCTTGTACCAAAAGCCCACTCCGTCACCAGGGAGAAGGTCACTGCAGAACTCCACCTCCCCGGCGGCATTGTCGCCCGACAGGCGCAGGACTGGCCACCTTCCCCGATGTCGTACTCGGTCGGCGGGCATAACAACCATTGTGGAGGCGGCTCAGGCTGAGAGCAACCGCTCGGTCAAGGACCGCCGCGATCACACCCACTAACAACTCCTGCCCGTACGACTCGATCTTCGCGTAAGGCTCCAAGGTCGACCACCGTTCGACACGTTCACCTCCTCACCGTCGGCTGGACACGTTCCACCAGCCGTCAGCGCCTCGACGCTGCCGCTGAGGTCGCGGATCGCGCCATCGGCCGCACTCAGCCTCTTGCCCACCGAGTCGAGCTCGGCATCGAGAGGTGCCACATCCGCGGGCGGCCACCCGGGCGGCACAGGATATACCAGAGGCAAGAGGCTCTGTGAGGAGGCAGCAGAGAGACTCCGCCGACTGCCAGGGCGGTCGAGCCTGGCATACCTCAAAACACTCGAGCAAACGTGTGCAGCAAAACGGACAAAGCAAGAATCACGTGCAGAGCACTGCTATCCAGTCAGGATTCTAGCGCCAAGAACGGCCTGATCCACAATGCAATAGAGCACAGCACAGTTCAACGCGGCATGGCACGCTTCAATTCATCACAACACAGTACATCACAGCCCCCGACACGGTACATCACCTGCGTTACCTTAAGAACTGCAATTCCCTGTCGCCTAAGTCCGGTGTCTTAGAAGCGTTCTCATGCCTCACAATCATATGTATCCCTTTCTGGGTTCGTGGGTCGATCATGTTGACACAAGGATGGTGGGGTGGTCGAACCATTGCCCAATGTGGCGCACCTGGTGCGGGTGGCGCACCTGGCACGTGCGGCGCACGCCGCGGGCATCGCGCACCTGGCTGGCGTCGGCATTGGTTCCCGATGGTTGTCAATGGCGGCCCCTGCCTGTGCTGAGACTCGGGTGGTTCTTATGTGACTACCTATCAGACCACCCCAACCCAACCCGAAGACCCAAATTTGATCCGAATTTCGGGTTGGGGGGGTATGGGTTCCATGTGTTTTTCAACGTTCCCCGACCCCCCCCCCTGGAAATGGAGGGCAAATTGAGGACTTCGGGTTGGGTTGGGGTGGTTTGGTGGGTGGTGATTATGTAGTGGAAGGGCCGATGGGAGTGAGCGAGACGGCTTACGGCTTGGGGTAGCTTGATCACTGCTTCTGGTTAAAATGCACCTCCTCCCCCAGACGACCGGCGACAAACATGGGACCATGACGACACCCCCCGCCCACCCCTGTTAGAAAACAATACAAAGTTTCTTTGCGGCACGCGATCACTTTGCATGGGTATTTGATTGGGACGGCGGGGGGGGCGGCATATCGCCTGCTGTGTACAATGCCAACACCCCCACCATTCCTCGCAAGACACTTTGCACCAAAATCTGCATTGTGCGCTGACGCCCCGCGATCACGTTGCATCGGCCTTCGGCAGGGAAGCAGGGAGGGCCAGCATATTGCCTGCTGTGTGCAATGCCAGCACCCCCCAGAACGGCCCCGTCATACAAACATGCAGAGCGCACGCCACGGCAGCATCTAGATCATGCGCGGGCACCAAACAATCACGTTGCATTGAATTTTGACAGGGACGAGGGGGGGGCAGCGTATTGCCTGCTGCGCGCAGGCCCATCACCCCTGGCCCCCCCCCAAAAAAGTGAATACACCTTGCGGCAACGATCATGCGCGGGAGCCCCGCGATCACTTTGCATCGCCATTTGACGGGGATCATGCGGATGCCCTGGCATGCGCGGCGCACCTCGCGGGCATGGCGCACCTGGCTGGCGCCGGTATTGGCTCCCGACGGTTGTCGATGGCGGCCCCTGCCTGTGCTGAGACTCCAGTGTTACTTCTGTGTTGGGAGGGCGGGTGGAAGTGATAGGGGGCCGCATGCGAACCCTACCCCTACCCCCCACGATTTCTGAGGGGGGGGGGGGTTCACCTCGCTCATGAGCTCCCGAACGAAGTGAACCCCACACTCCCCCTCAGAAATCGTGGGGGGTAGGGGTAGGGTTCGCATGTGGCCCCCTAAGTGAGCGAGGCGACTTGCGGGAGGGGAGGATGTCTTGACCCCTCCCCCCTACCCCCTCCCCCTGGGTCTGGACGGGCGGGGGGGGCGGGGGCCGGTCAGAGCGTCTAAGAAGGCATCGGCGAGAAAGCAAAAGTCATGGATTATCCGTGGGTTTGGGCTCCATTTTGACCTCGTGGGAGTTGGCGCCAATTGGAGACTGCACGTTCGTTGATCGATCGCCTCCTAGATGGCTCCAAGATGGCCCGAAGTGCTCCCAAGAGAGCCACTACTTGGCTACAGCAAAAGTTTCCTTGGACACTCGCAACAAGAAGTATATGTATGCACGCCCATCGGCGAGACGAGTTGTCACGCACGCGTGCTCTGCGCTCGCGCGCGTTCGATCCTAAGACGTCCCCATGGCCACATAATGATTCCAGGAGGGTCTGAGGCCACAGACGATAACGTCCAGACGGCCTTGGGATGACGACACCCCAACACGATCCCGCCATGGATCTGGACCGTATCAGGCGGACTCGAAGATGACCAAACACATGAGCCACGAGTGACGCCGAGATGGCCCGATGGCAACAAGATGGATCCAAGCGCGCCAATGGTGGCCCCAAAATGAACGCGCGACGGCTGCGCGATCCAAGCATGGCCGAGATATGATATCAAGATGATTTCAAGACGACCCTGACAAGGCAGGACTGCTGCAACTTCGGAGCCCCATCGTACTTCGAGCCGATCCCAGCATGGCGGGATCCGTGAACGACCCAGGATGTTTGTTTACCCGATGTTTAATGGGTGGGATTTCTTTCTGGCTGAACTAGAACTATAATAATTAAAAAAAGGGGAGAAGTTGAGCAGGATCCCGCCCGGCCCACGGGAGAAGACTACATTACTAGGCTTCTACGGGGGGTAAGGGGTTTCGGACGGGGCGTCAAATTACTTCCGCTGTCTTCCGCAAGCCTTTCGACTGCCTTCCGCCGTCTTCCGCCTCGTTTTGCTTCTGTCGGCTTCCGCTAGCGAGCGATGCGATGAAAATTCAAGGAACTTTTATTGGGCCGATGTAGCGCCTAGAGTGCCCCAGGAGGCGCCCAAGAGGCCTCAGGAGGCCCTAAAGAGGCCCCCAAGCGGCCAGCAAACGATGCCCAAGAGGCCTCAAGAGACCCCCGAGAGGTACCCAAGACGCCCCAAGAAGCTCTGATGACCGCCACGAGGCCCCACAAGACGGGGGAGTGCCCCAATAACCGACCTATGACCAAGATGTCCAGCGCTGCTGCTGTGTGGCGTACCCGCCTTACACCCATCATCAACGTGTCTTGGCCAGAGACTCCTGACCCGCCCCACACCGTACGAAGTACCATGTGATGAAAGCTGGCCTATACATGTGTTGTCAATTATGCGGGTAGCATTCGTCGACACGGGCCTGGATCGATGGGGGAGCCTGGTGGAGGGACTTGATCCCAAGCGCAGTGTGCGTATGGGCACTTTACTTCCCGCCACCCTCCGACTCTATATCACGAATTTGGTGATTTGACTGTCGTGGATCCCCCACTCGCGCGTGTCCCGCACCTACGACGGTGACGACAACGACGACCACGACGACCACGAGGACATCGGGCGACGGACGGATGGACGGACGGACGAACTGACGGACTGACGGCGACGGCGACGACGATGATGATGACGACGACGATGATGACGACGGACGACGGGAGACGGAAGACGACGGACGGTGAAGACCGCGACGACGACGGCGGCGGTGGCGTCGAGCGAGGAACTGCCAGAAAGGGACTCCGCCCCGCGCTCGCCGAAGGGCCCCGCGAGGGGCCAACCCGCGGGGGGAACGCCTGCGCCACGCGCCCGGACGCCAACAACGACCGCGGCCGACTCCGAAGCACCAGCAGTGATGCTGCACTCGCGCTTCGGTCCTCGGCACCCTCGGCGGCGCCTTCGGCCGCCGCCGCCTCGGCGGCGGCCGCGGCCGCGGCCGTCGCCTCCGCCGCGACTGCCCCGCCCAGGTGTGCCGCGGCGAAGCGCTGCGCGGCGCTGCCGAAGTGGTCGCCTGTGCTTCGGGGGGCGCAGAGGTCGGCCCCGGCCGCCCGCAGGCGAGGTGGCCGCCGGTGCGCGCTGTGCCGATCGCTGCAGGGCGAGGCGACAGCAGCGGCCTGCGCGCTCGGGCTCGGCCCCTCCGGCGCGCCCCGAAAAAGCCGCAGGCCTGAGGTCGCCCCGGCAAGGGGGGTCAGTCTCACGTCTGGCTGTCGGATCGCGGCTCGGGCCTCTGGCGGTCGCTCGGGAAGGATTTGGGCACCCGCTCGAGAAACAGCTGACGCCCCCGTCGAGACACAGCTGCTGGAAAGCATCCCAAGGCCGTGACACCCCACG